CAGCTTTCGCGGACCGCTCGGCCGTCGCGTCGTTTTATTTCATAAGCTCGCGCGCGGCAGCCACCTTCTGGCTTGTCGCTGGTTCCGCACGTCTTTAGCGAGCAATCCCAGTGCGCAGGCCTCGTCTACGTACAAACGATCGCGCGCAACGGCTTTCCAAGATTATACGAATGTCCCTTTAGAGCCAGTTGGAATGGCTACGGGAATCGATCATCGCGCATCTTCGGTACGCTTCGCGTCGGCGTCGTCGCTTTTCAAGTTTTTTGTCTTCGCATCTGCAATCGCGCGCGATCAACGTGTTCGTTCGTCGGAAGAGAAGAGCACCGGCGCGAGAGACGGCCCGAGGGATGCAGTGCCTGTGTGCGTGTACTCACGGGGGGTCGATCGATCGCTCGCGCGCCATAACGGATCGACGGAGCGGAGCGGAGTCTCGCGGAAAACGCTGACCTCCTTGCCTTTCGGGGGCTTTCCCGCGTATCGATCCGGCCAGCCCCCCCCCCCCCCCCCCCCCTCGCGCGCGCGGCCCGAGGCCGAAAATCCCCGGGGGAACAATGGGTAAGAGGCGCGCGAAAGCAAGGCAGAGCGCGGGAGAGGAGAGGAGACGAGGGCTCGCTAATTAACGTATCCGCGTTCTCGGCGCGGCCGTCTGCGGACGCCCGGAAATCTGCATGCGCTGAATATGCAACCGAGCCTCGCGCTAAATACGCCTCGTAAGGGACGGCGAGGCGCCCAGGAGCTTTCGACGCTGCTTGCGTGAGGGAGGTCGCTTGGGTTGGCCGGCCGCACCGGTCGAGGCATCGCAAGCCGAGACGAACGAGCGATTGCAAAATAACGTTTCTCAAAATCAGTAGCCATCGAGCTTCGTTCGGCGCTGCCATTAAAATCGAGCGACTATTGCCAGTGTTTCGCCATTGTTAAAATAAGAAAAAGTTGCATTAAAAATAAAACGTATATTACTTGTTTTTCTTAGGATAATACCTTCTCAAGTTAAGCAATACGCACACTCTAAATGTCGGCTTGCATACTATCTTGGGAGAAAATGTTTCGTATTTCAATAATTATTCGGGCACTTGACTGATCGAACTTGAATGCAAATATTTGCATCGACGGGACGTACGCATTGAGCCATTAACCATCTCGATAATGAATCTCAAGAAAACATCAAGGAAATCATTTGTACGAATCACCTTTCTCCTTCGGTGTAAGGTACAACAAGCCGTATCCACGGATTTAGAGACTTGGCGCGGCGGCGGCGGCAGCGTCGAAGCTCGATAAATTCCCCCGGCGCGCGAAAAGCCTCTGACATAATGGGATTTGTAGCAGCGGCATGTAGAGAAAGGCCAAAGGCCTCGCAGGAATCGTTAGCGCCTTTTATATGTCGTGTGCCAAATCGATTGGAGAGCCAGCGCGAACTACTTCCCGTGTATAATCGCGACGAGGTGATGGATAACGAGGCGCTCTCTCTCTCTCTCTCTATATATATATATCTATCTCTCTGGCTTTGATGTCTTCCCTTGCGACGCGGGCAATGAGCCTTTGCATACCTCCGAGGTTATTCGAAAGAAAAAAGAAAACGGATCACGACGAGAAAAACAGCCACTGCCGCGGGATCATGAATTTCGGCATACTGGTTGTACAGCTTGCCGACGAAAGATTCGATGTGGCGAGCGTTGCCGCGACTGGCTTCAAGCTGCACGATCGAATAACATGTCCAGAGGATAAAAGAAAACTTGACAATACGCAAATGGGTTGTAACCGACGCGTGAATCTGACATTCGCATTAGAAACGCATGTAGTGCGGGCAGACATATTTGAAAATCAATTTTGTTTACGCGCATTTAACGGCGTTAACGATCCTGATCGCGAACGTATGTTCGTTCCCAGCAACATCCTGCAATTTTTTTTTTTTTCGTTTTCGCGAAAATCTGTATCGAAGTAACGTGCAGTTTCTCCTCGATAAATATATAAGAGAAAAGTTCGGTAGCTTAACGCGGACAATTAGCTCGAACTTTCCACTCTGTCGCGAAGACAAAATGTGCCTTTTGGCTTGACATTGGGATGGCAAAGGCATACGCGTGCGTATAACACCGGTGTATTACGTATTACTCGGCTTTCCGGAAGTCGAGCGCCGACGACAACGACGCTGCCAAGGCCGCGCACGCGCACACACCGCGCGCTGCGGAACAAACTAATTGCAAGGTTGGGGCAATAGGATGTTGCTCTGCCGACGCCGTTGCCCCGCGCGATTTTTCTTCTCGATCGTCGTGTCTTTCTCCATTGGTGGGCGATGCTGTGCTCGCCGCATCTCGGACTTTACCTTTGTGCGAAAGAAAAACGACAAAGTTAAATGAAAAACGCTGCGAACGGGACGATTGCGATGCTTTCATTACCTCGCTTGTTTTCGGACTGGCTGGTTGCGATCGTTAAGCGTGAAAGATGCACGACCGCTCTGGCGGAAAAGAGTAGTGTGCAGAAAATGTAAAAATACCGCGAATCGCGATTTTTCGCGGTTCACAAATGGAATAAGTTTTTACGATTTCTCCCACCTTTGTTAATTTTTATAACGCAAAACTGAGTTAACAGGCTATAAGTTTTGTTGGAACTTGTGAACGATTATAAAAAGACATATTTCAGAAACTTCGACTGATGATTGATAATATTCAAATAAAAAAAATGGCCGATAGACATAATTCTTTCGTTTAAACAATAATAAAGATGTGGACAGCTTAGGAACAGTGTGAATCGCAAATTTTTTAAGATTTACGAAAAATCAGAATTTTTTGCATTTCCTTGGCATATTACTCTTTTCTCACAAGAGTATCTTCAAGATTTGAAATGGCAGCGTTAATATCATCATTCATAAAAATAACTTAATATTAACCCAACAATTCGAGTCTATTTCCCTTCGTCCCAACCAACGGACGAAAACAACGTAAATCCGATTCCACAAAGCTATTTACCAAGCAAACAAACCATCGATCGCAAATCGCATGAGAGCTATCAGATCACGAGGGAGACTTTTCGCGCAACATATCTCGGCGAGCGCCGAAAAAAAAAAAATCGGTGAAAACAATAAACAGGCATGAGAGTAGCAGCAGCAGTAGTAGTAGGGAAAAGGCTTTTAGCTCTAATGCGCCACTTGGCCGAGGACTACGCTTTCGCGGTGGTTTCGGATGTCAGCCGAGTTTTATATCGATCTCGCACAGACGTACGCGCGCACTCACACGCGCACGCGGGGATGAAGGCTTTTATCGCGTTTGTATGCGCGCGGTTTGCCGCAATTTTACGCGTTTGCCGTGCGTTCGTCCCTCCCCCGCCTCTTTTCCTCTTTTTTTTTTTTTTTGTTTTTTTTTTATCTCGATTGACTGGCACACGCGTTTCGCGGATTTCGTCCGAGTACGCGCGTGCACGAGTCGCGGGATCCTTGCCCGAAATTGCTTCGACGCTGCTTTTTAGACGACGCGAAGAGTTCAAAATAATCTGCGTGTCGCTTTAAACTTTACTTTTACGAACGTGCAACAACATTCGCTGGCTGTTTGAAAAACAAACGCCGTATAGCATATCTCGAATGATCAGAAAATAAAAAGTTTGCAAAAATGAAAACGGAAGAAAGAAAACGAATAATCGTCTGTTTATAAATGCGAAATCCCGCTGATTCGGCAGAGTCGTGTTTAAAATAAAGAGAGTGGCAGCAGCAGCCAGAGACCCAATTGCAACGAGCGACGCTGTGGCTTAAGCCGCTTCTCTTTTTTTTATTATTTCTTTTCTTTTATACATAGAGAACGTCGGGCGAGCGACCGATCGCGGAACCGCGCCGCGTAAAAGCGAAGGAATTTCGCTGACGCGACTCGCTTCAGCGGACTCGACAATCTCCTTTCTAATACGAGTTTTAGTTATTTTTAAATTGTATTCTTCGGAGATAAAAAAAAAATCACGTATATACGTCTAATTATTTTCCCCTCGCGTTAAATTTGTTCAGTGTGACGTATCTAATGTGCTGTCACGCTACACCCTAAAAGCCTCGTAATACATTTGATATCCACAAAAAAAAATACATTCGATATCCAAAAAATGAACTATTCTCTTGCGCCTGTATACACTTGAGTCGTGACGTCTTTCGTCCCTTGAAAAGTTTTCATCTTCGCGCAGCAGTCTGCAAACGTGAGAGTCTCATTTACGAAAGAGACAAGACAATCAAAGACGAAGAGAAGTTCGCGAGTATTATACGTGTACACTGGCTCAGCAGGGGAAAGGCAGCCCAAAAAGAGAGACGACTCGCCAGACGGCAATATGTATGATAATATACCAGAGCGCATATCTTTGCCAAGACCGGTGGCATGCAAAACAAAACAAAACAAAAAAAGAAGAGGAATACTCTTTTCTTTATAATACATGCCGAGCATTAATCGCCTTTCGAAATTGAATGTAATATTATATCTATGATCTCTTCTCTCTTTTTTTTAATTTTTTTATGGTCCTACGAAATAACGTCGTTGGATGAATTTCAACGAGTCTCGTGTGATTGCAATGGACGAATAGTAAGTGAACAGACAGAGCTTGAGTAGACGATAAGTGAAAGTCCGCAGGGACGATTAGAATAATATAGCTCGAAGCATTTTAATAAGAAACTCTAGTGCTCTTTCTGGCACAGTTACCGCATGGAAACTTTTTTTTTAATAAGGCTTTCATGAGAAAATGATAATTGAAAACTGCGCGTTCCACGAGAAGAAGTTTCGGCGAAAGTCTCTGCTTCCCTTTTTTTTGAAAGTCTTACTTTTTAGTAAAAGTACGTGTCGACGGTTTTGACTTGTTTCGTGTACGCGTGATCGGCAAATAATTGTCAATCAATGATAGCGAATTGATTATTTTCTCCCTTCGCGTCGTATCGAGCAATTAATGAAAAGCAGTCGATTTATGCCTCACTTTATTGTACCACCGCAGAAAAAGAAAGAAAAAAGGGAGACGTCGTCGCTTAGTGCCAGATCGAGAAAGTAACTCACCATGTAACTGAGCGAGCGATTGTAGCGTCGCATTGGTGTTGCAGTTGATGAATCCTGTAACAGAGAAAAAGAAAATGATAAATGAGTGCGTGGGTCTTTATCGTCCGCGCGAGCATCGTAATATTCCGCGCACGTGCGTCTCTGTTATTATTTCTTACGGGTACGGCGAATGTTACGCGTATCAAGATGCTCCTCCGTTTCTTTCCTTTCCATTCTTATTTCTTTTCCATTGCTCTGTAACGGGATCCGAACGACGCTCGACAAAGTTGAGCTACCGTCCATTCGCAGATCGTCCACTCGTACACTCGAAATTGACCCGCAGTTTTGATCGGCGAGCGCAACCACAATCGCCGATTCACGATAACCAAATGTGAGCGCGCGTAACTTCGTTATGCTTTTATCGCTCGAAAGAGAGAGAGAGAGAGAGAGAGAGAGAGAGAGAGAGAGAGAGAGAGAGAGAGAGAGAGAGAGAGAGAGAGAGAGAGAGAGAGAGAGAGAGAGAGCGTTGGAAGGCCATGCGTACAGAGACACGTATGACAAAAGGGGGTTGGCTACGACCGCAAACGTTGCAATTTTGACGAGAGTCGAATGCATCAGTCGTGACCGCGACGCGGCGGGATTGGATGTGCTTGCGGCTGAAAATAAAGACGCTACGCGATGAATGGCTTCGCGTGACTCTTCGCATTGAGTTTTGAGAGCTGGTTGATCGATGTGCTTTTTTTTTACGGCATCGCGTCGAAAGCAAAAGTATTCCGCCGACATCTCTGTTTAGCTCTGCGCTCGGCTCACTCTCGCAGCAATGCGCTCGCTATAGTAATTCCGCTCGCGTGTCTCTTAACGAGAACCTCTGATTTGGCTTGGGCACGGCATCGGAGTCTTCAGGGTAGCGCCAGCGACCCGCGAGCCGGTGCAACGAGAACGTGCACACGGAGGCATAAACGAGTCGCACACGTGTCGATTACAAATCTCTTAATTCGTTGGTTTGCCGTCGTCGTCGTAATCGTCGTCGTCGTCGTCGTTGTTATTATGTGCTCTGCCCACCGGCAATTCGTCTAAGCGCGCGCGGTGAAAGGTATTTTCGAAAGTGACACCTCTGCTCGCTATTCTCTCCGGGCAGGTGTATTTCGTGCAGCGAGTAACGTTAGACCGATCGTCGTGCATTGTCGTCACATCCGGCCTTGCGACAAGCGAGCCCTGTGAGGCGCGCGCGCGCGTTGCGAGAGGCTCTTTAGGATGTCGAAAGCTAATAATTCATCTGCTCGCGAGGGAGGGGGCCGCGGCAGAGGACCGGCCAAAGGCTTCTCGTGTCCCAATTGCAACCGGTTCCGAGCAACTCGCGTCGGCGGCGCTGCACTCGAGCGCGCAACGGCCACGAAAACATTGGCGATCCGTGACTGCTCGTCGGGAACCTCGTCGCGAGAATGCGGGAACGAGATGAACGCCCCGTGCTCGACGGCGAACGCCCGCGGATTTTCGTCGGCCGATCACGCGTTTTCCCAGAGCAGGCGCCAATTACCGGGCAGGTTAATTAGCTGGAAAAGCGCGCGAGCTCAATTGAATTATCCGCGCGATAGGGTGAAAGTGCTCGGGAGCGCGCGCGCTATTGAAATCGTTATCAAGCTCCTCGGCGGCGAGGCAAAGAGAGCGCCGTGCTGCGGTCGATTTCAGAACGATTTCTTAATGGACTTGCGGTCCGGATGCGTAATACTCTATTTTCTCCCGAAATTGTGGCTCTTTTTCAAAGCCCGACTTTTCATTACGATGCGAGGCACTGTGGTGGGGTCGACGATTTCTATTATTTTTTTGTTTCTTTTATTTCAACGAACGTGTCAAGCAAGCCTGGGTTCGCGACACTCCACGCGCACGCTAATTTGACGAAATGAAGCGTTTATCAAAGCCTATCTCGAGCTGGAGTGAACCATTAAACGTGAAAAATCAGCGAGAAAGCGTCTGTTTTTCCGACACTTTCAAGTTTTGAGGCTCGTTTCGCTGAAAGAAATAAGCCCTTGAACAACTAAAAATCTCAAGTCAAACAATTATGATAACGAGGTCAGTTGGTTTACCGAACGTTACTTTTATTAAGTATACTAAATGGTGAAAATTTCAAGATCCTAGCAAAGTGAAGCGCGTTCAATTAATTTGGATACACGAAGAATTTAAACGGAAACCTACATTAAAGCACGAAATACCTACTTACTCTCAAAAACGAAAACACAAATTTACGGCAGACATTTTTTTTTTCATTAAAAAGCAACGGTGAAAAGTCACTGTAAATAAATAAAGCGGCACAACGCAGCGAAACGCGTAACGGAAGAGTAACGAGCGCCCATACAAAATAGAGGCTCGCGTGGAAAATATAAAGAGCAGCCACGGGTTCCCACGCGTCCGCGAGAGAAGCGGAAAAAAGCAAGTGGCACGAAAGTGGATATATAGTCGAAAAAAGAAAAATAAAAAAAAGTAATAGGCGAGGTAAGAACGTAAGTGAAAAAGAGACGATAAGATCCCCGCTCGGGGTAGAAAAACGACGTCGACCTTTCGGCGGCGCGCGATAAAAGGAAAAACAGGCGCGCAATTATTCCGCCAGGAGGTTCTCGCCGTCCCGCGGACCGTTGGCGCATTCCGCGCGGATGCGAATGGTTAGCATCCGTCATTACACCGCGACATATTGGCCGCGGGAGAAGCGCCAGGACGTAATGAGCAGCGGCAGATGCTGCGCCAGCCGCGATTCGCAATCTCGCGCTCGCGCGGACCGAGCGTCAAAGCGCCGCTCTTCGAAGCGAGGACAAGAGGCGTCGTTGCGAAAGCCCACGGGGGAGATTGCGAATTGAAACTTGAAAGGAGATACACGGCGAGCGAAAGCGCTAGAGCGATGGGCATCGAACGATTTCTCGGGCCAGGTGGAAGCTTCGCCGCCGGGGTCGTTCGCAGCCTTGCCGTTAGAAATCCATTGTCGAGATTTCGAGAAGGCGCCGCGGCCTTGAATCTCGCTGCCGACCTACGAGCGCGCGATCGGATCGTTTTTGCGCGCCTCGATCTCTCCGCCGCCGCGTGCTCCTGTTCCGTCCGAGCGGCCACGCGCTCAAGCGTTCCGCCGGGCGAATATCTCGCGACGTTCATCCTGCGGCGGGAGGGCCATCTCTCAACTTCCTTCCTCTCTCGTCGCTTGGCGCCTTTCCAAACGATCGCCGAATCGACGTGGTCCACTTAGCGCGTCGCGCGCGGAGAAAATATGCGGGCCGGCGCTCGCGGCCGGGTGCGCCCCGATGAAAATTAAAAATCCGTCCGGCTTTTCGAGCGGTAAATCCCGCGGATTTACGACCCATCGCGCGCTCGGGGGCCTCGGCGCCTGGGGGGGAAACGAGAGCTCCGCTGCGGCCCGCACAACGACTGGATGGACGGCCGCCACTTTTTCATTCGGCGAATCCATTGATCTCGCTGGTGTTTACGAAAATGGGAGGCGAGCGCTCGGCGAGTGTCGCCCAAACGACGAGGAGGGCATCGAGCCAGGCAGGAATGCATCTCGCGCAAGGATCTCGGAGGCGTCTCGCAACCGCGAACTTGGCTGTGTATGCGCGGACAAAGCCTTAGACAAGGGGCCGTCGTCACGGCAGACTGTGCGACGACAGTTCGGCCTCGTGCAACCAATCGACACCCGGCACTCCCGCGCTCGCTGCCGAGTCATCGACTCCGCTTGAACTTTCTAGATCGACGCGTCGCGACGAGCGAGATTTCGTTTTCGTTATGGGGTGTTGACATTTCGCGGCCGCGAGTCACTGCCGGCGCGCGCGCCTCTTCCGAGTCTGAGCTGTTCGCACATCGATTACGTAAGCGCCCCGATGAGCGACAATTGGCCTCGGGGCTAATTCGTTAATTAGTCTCCCGCCTTCTCCGGCGCACCTTTACTCGACCCGCCGCTGCCGCGCGCTAATCCGAAATGGCAATTTCTCCGTCGTCGTTGCCGCGCTAACGAATTTTCGACGCGTCGCTCAAATGGCTTCATTCTTCATCCTCTCTCTCGTTTTTTTTTCTTTTTCCGATAGTCAATTTCCGGCAGAATTACGACACGCGCGGGCATGCATAAGTACGCTCGATACCGGGCAATAAATTACGCGCGCTCGCGCTCAAATCGACGTGTAAAGGAAGCCGGCGAACGCACGAAATTGCCGAAAAATAATCGCGGCAACCCCCCCGAGATGGATTTTTCTCGTCTCGCTTGATTCAATAACGCGGCGCGCTCGGAATAAAACGGAACGAGGTCGCTTTCCACATTAAACGATGCTTAATCGCAGACTGCACGCTCGCAGGTCGCGTCAATTTTGACGAACGTCAAGTTTGCTGTTTCCGCAATTCGAAGTGTCGATGGCGTGTGTCATAGGTTAGAAAGCAGCCAATCCCATAACGTACGCATCAACCTCTCGTCAGAAACAATTTTACGGCAGATGCACTTGAGAACGTAAAAAAAAGACGGATAATACAAAAGATATAACGACGCGAGTGACGATCCTTAACCTATAAAAGTTGTCGTGTGTATGCAGCTTTAACGATCCTAAACGAACGTTGAAAAAAAAGGGGTATTAAATCTCGTTCCCTCCCGTGCGCAGCGCGACAGACAGGCTATATAAATAAGCGGCATCAATATAACGCATCACACTGCTACACAATGTTCCGCTCGAAACGTCGTTACTTCATGCCGCAGCGCCGCGAGAAAGCGCGGAAGTTTTTCAGGCGCAAACTAAAAGTAGCTTTACGATTGGCGCGCTGTATAATCAGCCGACGATGTAAATCAAAATACGATATACGCTCTCGTGACCTATCCTTTTGCGAACGCGATCGCCGCGCACGATTGAATTTATTCGGCCGCGGATAGGTGAAATAGTAAAAATCGACGAGGCGTGCGTATCGAGAGCTAGAGCGCCTCTAATGGGTGAAGAGGAGATGATTTACGGCAATCGCTTGTAAGTGAGTGAGAGCGACTAGTGATTGAATTAATAAATGCGTTGTAAATTTGCACTTCTTTGAGCCTTCTCTCTTTCTCTCTCTCCGTGTGTGTTGAT